TGAGGATCCCTTCCAGCCAGTTCTTAAAAGGAGGCAGGTTATGAGCTTTAACAACATGGTTGGCCATCTTGTGCCATTCTCCGTCACATTTTTAAATGCACTTCCCTGTAGTTTCCATATTGCTGGTACATTTATTTTGGACCAGTTTTTCATGGTTAATGTTTCACTGTTGATACTGAGGACATTCAAAGACTGTGTAAATGACTCTGAGGATTTTTGTTATGTGAAAGATGTGTAAAAATTATCATACTAACTTTCCCTTTTAGTATTTTAAAATGTGAAATAATGAAATAATCCATTGTAAAAGATGTGAAAATAATCTGAAAAGTTTAAAACCACACAAAGGATTCACCACTATTCCAGCTATTTCCAGAAAGACTCCACATTAAAACAAAAAAGTACAATAAAAACATATTTTCCTGATACATGTGTGTTTTTTTACAGACTAATGTCTACTACTTTAGTTGCAAAAAACATCTGGGGGACATTGTGCTGATCAGGCTGGAAAAATCTCCTCATCTGCTTGGAGATGACTGGTTCTGTTCGATGGTGACAGTGGAGTTTGAGGAGAAAACCTACAACTTCCCTTGTTACAGATGGCTGAAGGGGAAAGAGAGCCTTGAGCTGAGAGAGGGCAAAGGTATTCATTCCTTCTTATAAATAATAGACATTTCTGGGTTTAAGAATAAAAATGTTCTATTGTTTTCTATGATGCATAGCTTTTGCATGTCATATTAACATTACATTTTATGTACAGATATGTTTATTTAATTAAATATCTGCTAACAGTTCATAAGATTCTGTTTTAATAAAGGACCAGTGACTAACTTATAAATCATAAACAAGTAGGTATTGGAATGTTCCTTACATTTCACTTTGGATAATAATATAGAGACCCCTAATAACTTATAATGTGGCATCAGAGGTGCTACCCTGTAGTCTGATGTTGTCAGATCACAAATGCTAAACAAGTCTTGACCTGGTCAGTACTGGTGCTGGTGACTGGAATAACAGGAAACTAAGCAACTGCTGTATTTGGTGTAGAGACACTAGTAGGTGTCTCTGTACCCATTAGCCCAGAGTTTCTCAAACTAATGTCCAAGAGTGGTGATGCTGTCTTTCAGATGAGATATTAAAACATGGTCTTGACTAATTGGTCATTGAAAACCCATGTTACTGTTTTCAAGTGTAGGGGTGTCAATGTGGTGTTATACATTCCTCTCTGGGTTTGTAAAATCTAACCTTCTTAAGGATCTGCTTCATTCAGCTGTGCTGTGTACCTGTGCACATCAGTGATGGAAGGTGTGAATCCCTTCCCCTTTTTTTCTTTAGGATTCTTTGGAAAAGATTAATTAGAATATATTCAGAATTCATTTGAAAAGATTTCTGTGACCCTGTACTGGATAAAGCAGACAGGAATGGATGGAACTAAAAAGAGTATACTGTATCTGTTATTTTTTCTGTCTGGTTGCACACCAGAAAATTTCTAGTTGAATTGGGCTTTGCTTGGTCTTTGCTGTTACAATATAATGTTTGCTTTTAAATGTTGCTCACTAGATATTATACAAGATAATATATGCTTATTATTTGTGTCAAATGAAATAAATTTACTGCCTGAATTAAAACAAGACCACATTTGAAGTGACCCCTAATTCCTTCATTTGAAAGTAATGTTTTCCCTGTGAAAATAAACCATACATAAGTGCCAAATAAACTATAATCCGGTCCAAGCAAACAAGATATGAAGAACAACGTATTGATTTTTTAAAAATACATTATAGTAAAATGTTAATAACATCTGGTTATGTACAGAACAATTGTCTTCATTTGTCTCTACACAAACAATGCCATAGACATAAAAAAATCCAATCCGGCACCTTACAGTCTAAATCCTCGTAAGGGGTTAGTAAAGTTTTGACAGAGCTACAATACATCTTCACTTATCTTACACATGAAAATCCCCTCTACCCTGTCTTCCAGCAAAGAAGCCACAGGAAGATCAACTTGACATCCTGCAGAAACACAGAAAGAGTGAGCTGGAGAGCCGGAGGACCTTGATTCAGTAGGTGTAAAATACAGATAATTCAAACAGGACTAGAATAAACTGCCCAGTTGCACACTCCCAGCAAGTATGAACAAGACTTGAATTTGTTTCCTATTGGTACTTGGAAAAAAATGCATTTAGGAAATATTGAATCATAGTAATTCCATGTTATACATTTGATTAGAATTAGAAATAAAAAAAAAAACATTGTGTTCAAGTCAGTGATTTCAAGTGGCAGTAAGTTCTAGCACATATTCACATTCATTCAATCCATTTTGCTCCATACTCCTTGTGTGTTTGGACTTTTTTTATCTTCAGAATTCTTTCTTCTGCTGCCATCATTAGTTATATGACCAATAAAAATGAATGAGTCAGTTCAAGAGGTGGCCATTAATGACATTTCCTCCACCATGCTTTATAGATCATAGAGTGTTCATTTAGAACTTTCAGTTTCTTTCTTTCTTCACTTGTTTCCATGCTTGTGGTAAAAGTTAACTTGTAGATCTCACTTGTCTTTGGAACATGGAGATCTGTCCATAAAACATTGTTTTAAAACTCTATTAGTTCATTTTTGTACTTCTGAGCATCTTCAGAAGCAAAGTGGATGTAATGTCAAAGCATGGTCATAAATTACCTTTAAATAAAACTCATTTGTCTTTACTGATAATGTCATTAATTTGGCTCTACAGTAGATTGCCAGAATGTTCCCAAACTCAAACAAGTCACCCTGAAAGACTCCCAGCTGGGGACTTTTCTCTTGCCCATTACCTCCCCTTGTTGGATTTGAGTATTTGACCCCAAAACCCTCAATATCTAAAATAAGAACAGTACAAAAAGGAACTTCTTCAGGAATGTTAAGTCCAGTCTAAAGACCAATTTGTGAATTACTTTGTGAACATCAGGATGTTACATCATGCATCATAAAGAGAGACCGCTACCGTCATGTCACTTTTTACCAGCTATCCAGCAGGGAACCATTTCTGATCAAATTCTCCTTAACAAGAGAAACTGTGGGAGCACATCTGATGTTTCCCTGGTCCCATCAATCTCTGATGGATTGAATAAAAGAAATATTAAAAAGATATGTGGGATAGCTGGTTGGTAATGGGATTGTTCCAGTCACTCTTAACCACTTGTTTTTAATGTTTCTCACACAGATGGGCTGCTACAGAAGAAAACATTCCAAAACATGTGCATTATGAGAGACCAGAGGATTTGCCTTCAGAGCTGCAATTGTCATACACCAAAGAGACTGAATTGAACTTTTCAATTTTCAAAGCGTAAGACCTAATTAACTTATTAGAATTTATTCTATTTATTTATTAACTTAATAGAATGTATACATAGATACTGTATGTCACATTCGTAAAAGGCTGCACAGGTAGTATATTGACTTGTATCTTAGTATGTCCAGTCCAGGTTAAACTGGTGACAATACTCTTTGAAGGGATGGGGTGGTGGCTGAAAAGCTTCTTGTATTTTACTGCAGGGACACTGCAGATAATTATATTTTCATCCAACTTCTTGTAGTTGGCCAACATACTGTTATACTGTAGCTTTGGGCAGCTATAAAACTTCTAACACAGAGCAATAGAGCTAATTCTAATGATTGAAAATAGTTTTTCTACTATCTCACCCTCTTCATTTACATTTAGTGTGAATACTATGAATACTAAACTGGTTATATCTACTGTAGTGTGACTAGTGTGGTTTCACTGTTGTGTCTTTACAATGTTCTGCTGAGGTTAGCCCAGTTTTAGTTTGATTTGTAGAGATGTATTCTTGCACATATGACTTGCAAAAAGTATTTTTACTTAGTGAAAATGCTATTTTGCCTACAATACTTTCCATACCTCAGTACCATTCCAAATCTTAAAAAATATGTACACCAAGTTAACATCTAGATCAGTATTTTCTTTGAAGACAATTAAAGCTTTTTTATGATCAAAGCTAATTCATAATAGGAACATATTTTCCTATATTGTGATCTCATGTGATATGATGAATTCTGTCTGATTATGAAGGATTCATTTGGTCATGTTTAGTCCCAAGTCTCGATCCAAGCACTTTGCTATTTAACGTAGCATCCACCATTATAAGGGACAGATGATAGCTTAAATGAGTCCCTCTTTACAGGCCTCACATCAAGTAATTAGGGTTCCAGCTGATCCCAAAAAAACAAAAAAAATCTCAAGAAATTCTGTACATTTGTACAGAGGATGCAGGTAAAAGTTAGCTAGAGATATTAAATAAACAAAAGAAGCTTTAAACGTTGGGTCAGTAACCATGCAACCTTTTGGTCATAACAGAGGAAATATTCAGAAAGGTTTCATTACAACACAGTCTCAGTGACAGAAGATGTCTATGTCTGGTGCCATGAAAAGAGTAATTCTGTCTACCGTCTTTATAACTTCAGTCATGGGGTGACTGAAAAATGACTGATATAGTGGCTTTCTTAGAGATATCCAACTGAGGCACAACTGTTTCAGATAATATATATATAAATGCATGTGGTCAGTACGAATCAGTTCAATGATTTAAGTTCAATGATTTTTTTCTCTATTTTATTATCCCAGTCTAGCAGACCTTGGCCTGGGAGGTATTACATGCAATAGGGATTCCTGGGAGAGTATGAAGATCTATGAGAAATTCTTCAACCACTACAAAACAACAAATATATCAGGTATTGCCTGTTGTCTGTTATCACTTTAAAATTATTATTAGAATTGAAAGTCATAATAACTTTAAAGTCACTTTGAATTAAAGCATTAAGCTAAGGAATAATCCAAAATTAAGTTGGATTATTCCACTTTTGATATTAATTATAGTGAATAACTAATAATCCAATCACACCTCAAAATGTATTAATTACAATGTCACAATATACTGTACATAATATAACAATACACAGGATCAGTATCTATTGCTAGGGGCCTTTTGGAGCATAGTGCTTTATTATTAAGAAAAGACCACTTTGTTGGCCATATACAATTTCTTGTATTAGGAATTTGTCTTTTCACATACCCCAACTTGCTCTCAATGAGATACACAGACAGGGAGCAGAGGTTTCAGACATTTATACAGTGCCCCTGGAGCAGTTGGGGTTAAGGGCCTTGATCAGGGGTCCAGTGGAGTAGGATTCCTCTGCTGGCCATGGGATTCAAACCAGCAACCTTCCAGCCACAGGTGCAGATCCTTAGCCACAGAGCCACCACACAGCCCCTTATGTACAGTATCTTAAGGTATATACTATACCTTAAGACAAGACCTTCTGATTTATAAATCAGTCTTAAAAACCTCTCAGGAATTGTTTATAGATTTTTTTGACCAAGTCCTGAATGGCAATTAAATTATGCATATAAGAAAACTGCATTTTAGAGGACAATCAGCTTGGCTTTAGAAGAGGTACATCTTGTCTGACCAATCTAAAAGATTTAGGAACATAATGTCTGCAAACAAGAGAGGACCTCATGTAGTGGAAACACTGGAAAGTTAAATCACAGGATTTAATGTGAAAATTATATAATGCATTAGCTAGAACTCACTTGTAATATTGCATTCAGTTAATTCTTAATGAAGTGTTTTCTCAAGATGTTGGACAAAAAGAATTAATGCTTTTTGGGAAAGTGTAGATATGATGCCATGAGTGGAAATACATTTAAAATATTTAGATAGAAAAAGGGTGTGAACATCACAAAAGCAGATGCAGATAAACCAAATATCTCCAGATATGTTTTTTTAAATTAAAGATA